ATATATCGAAGATGGTCTGATACTGTTGATAAACGCCTTCTTCCGCCAGCGTAATTTTAACAATTAATAAAGACTTAAGGCTCGTGAAATTTAAACCAATGAATGAATATAAGGCCTTACGAGCCGTTCTCGAAAAATTTACAAGTGAATTCTCGTTACATGTGTATACATATATATATATACATGTAAGGCCTTATATTCATTCATTGGTTTAAATTTCACGAGCCTTAAGTCTTTATTAATTGCTAATAATTAAATAAATAAATATTTGATATAAATTACTGAAGTCACTTTCAATACAGAGTTTATCTTTTCAATGTTCGTGATACTATTATGGTAACATATGTGTTAAGAATTTGTTAGTTTGAGTTTAAATCGCGCGCGTCAGCTTCTTTAGATTTACTCGTCTCGGATCTGGCGCTGCAGGCAAAGCGAGAGCACCCTCCCCTTTTTATTAACTTTTTTAGTGTTATGTATGCTCACTCATTGTGATGTTATAAGCATGAAATAAAGTTTTTTTAATGCAAAGTTCAACGAGCACAATTATATACAGTTCAATTCAAAACAAACTGGTCCTTCGAGCCGGATAAGGCAGCGAGGAGGCAGAAACGCATAGGCAGTTAGACGGCGACAAATTAGGTTAGGTGACCATACCGCAGAACAAGACAAAACTCGCAGAACGGCGGAATCGTTATCAGCAAATCAGCTAAGTATCATACGTTCTCATTTCATTGTAAGCCGTTCAACATGAGCAACGACAGCAAGAAAAAACAGTTGAAAAGCCTTACTCGATAACGAAGCGCGATGAAGGCAAAATTCACATTGTTTCATCTTTTTGTAGAAATGTTAAAGGGAAGTCGCGATAGAATAGAAGAGTACGAAGTTATAAACTTGGAACAGAGGCTATGTCAAATCAAAGATTTGCTTTCTGATTATGATGCATGTCAAGCAAAAGTTGAGCAACTGGTAGAAGACAACGTATTAGAGGAATGTTACAAACAGAGGGCAGAATTCGAAGCGAGATTCTACGAAACAACGGCAAAAACGCAAAGACTCATCAACGAGTTAAAACCAGAAGAACCGATCACTAATCAAAACAACATGGCAGCCTCTGACATTGAGTCACAAGGCACGATTGCATTGCATCTCAAAATCAAACTTCCTCAACTGAAACTACCACAATTTGACGGATCATATGACAAATGGCCAGCCTTTCACGATATGTTTAACTCCGTTATTCACTCAGATCGAAGAATCGATCCAATCGCAAAATTTCAATATTTACAGAGTTCTTTAACGGGCAAAGCATTGAAGGTTCTCGATGGACTTGAGATCTTGGCAATGAACTATGAAACGGCGTGGGAGCTACTCATCAGGAGATATCAGAACAACAATTTGATGATTCACAAACATATAGCAGGCCTATTTGAGCAGCCGAAACTAGCAAAGGAAAGCTACGAATTATTACGCAAGTTGGTAGACGCGGTTCGAGGTCACATGCGTGCTTTAACAGCGTTAAAACGGCCAGTGAATCAATGGGATAGCTTATTAACGGGCGTGTTCCGTTTGACCACAGTACGATTCGACACCGATCGATTCGACACCAAATTATTGGACACAAAATTATTGGACACAGATTTAT